TCCCGTGCAAGGGGAAAACCCCCGCTTTTCATGGAGGTTTGCATCACCTGCTGATCTTTTGCTTTCATAGAGTGATTTTCGTGTGAAAATTTGGTACTAATCCTTCTGCGATTTCAAGTGTATAAAATCATGTATCTTTCTTGCTTGCATTCCGGGGAATACAAGTCGAGGAACTTCAAACCGTTTCCAGTAATTTAAGGTGCTTTATCGTACTTATGTGTGCCATTCTTGCCGTCACTGATGAACATGAGAATCCTACAATATACCTGCATTCACTGATGAGCTTGAGAATCCTAAAATATCGGTTAATTTTTATTTTAAACTAGAAAACAATAAGCCCATTTACGATATATGTATTTACTTTATCAATGAGAGATTTAGTATTTGGTCAAAACTGGAAATGCCCAGACAGATAACGTATACAGTAAACCCTCTCATAACTTACACGATACATTCCTGAAAAATGGTTTATGAGAAATAGCAATACATAAAGTGAAGAACAAAGGGGGAAGGTAATGTTATGTACCAAATGCCACTAGATTTGCCAATGAACTTTTTCAACTAGTGAACTAGGTAAAAATTACTTGGGTATAATTTACCTTACTCAAAAGTGTGGGGTTAACATGACCTACTGGGCCAAGCTGAGCATAAAAGGACACAGCTGCAACTAATATGACATTTTATTGTCAAGCAGTTACAAAGCCCCAGGTGAGCAAAACGTTGCCACAATAAAATGTCACATTAGTTACAATTGTGTCCTTTTACCTAACATTGTCGGTAATTCTACCAACATTAATACAAGGAGGTGAACGTATTCAGATATTTGGGAGTGGACGTGTCAGCGGATGGGTCTATGAAAGATGAGGTGAATCATAGAATTGATGAGGGAAAAAGAGTGAGTGGTGCACTTAGGAGTCTGTGGAGACAAAGAACTTTGTCCTTGGAGGCAAAGAGGGGAATGTATGAGAGTATAGTTTTACCAACGCTCTTATATGGGTGTGAAGCGTGGGTGATGAATGTTGCAGCGAGGAGAAGGCTGGAGGCAGTGGAGATGTCATGTCTGAGGGCAATGTGTGGTGTGAATATAATGCAGAGAATTCGTAGTTTGGAAGTTAGGAGGAGGTGCGGGATTACCAAAACTGTTGTCCAGAGGGCTGAGGAAGGGTTGTTGAGGTGGTTCGGACATGTAGAGAGAATGGAGCGAAACAGAATGACTTCAAGAGTGTATCAGTCTGTAGTGGAAGGAAGGCGGGTAGGGGTCGGCCTAGGAAGGTGGAGGGAGGGGGTAAAGGAGGTTTTGTGTGCGAGGGGCTTGGACTTCCAGCAGGCATGCGTGAGCGTGTTTGATAGGAGTGAATGGAGACAAATGGTTTTTAATACTTGACGTGCTGTTGGAGTGTGAGCAAAGTAACATTTATGAAGGGATTCAGGGAAACCGGCAGGCCGGACTTGAGTCCTGGAGATGGGAAGTACAGTGCCTGCACTCTGAAGGAGGGGTGTTAATGTTGCAGTTTAAAAACTGTAGTGTAAAGCACCCTTCTGGCAAGACAGTGATGGAGTGAATGATGGTGAAAGTTTTTCTTTTTCGGGCCACCCTGCCTTGGTGGGAATCGGCCGGTGTGATAATAAAAATAAATAAAATTAATACAAGTTGAATGTAGGCTGATCAGCTGACACACACTACGTACTGTACACGTCAACATTGTAAAAATAAAAATCCCTTTTCCTTACCAACTGCAATAAATATACAAGAACTCACCAAATCTAGACCAAATATATACTAAAGACGAATGCATTTGAAAAAGTAATAACCAAGAAAAATAAAGTAAAAATACAATAAAATGTTTTGGGAGGCTGTGTCTGAAGATGTAGGGAAAGCTGCTAACTCTGGCTTTGGTTCCAGGAATAGTGTGAGCTCTCAAATTTCTATATAATGGATGAGATAGTAAGAAGTTTGTTAAACCACAGCACTTTTGCCAAACTGAAGCCAGAGTCAGTAGGTAATTAGCACACCACCTATCAAAATACAATTGATAGTGATAATACAACAAGAGCAGCAGCTTGCACACTAACACACTACGTATTAGCTCTCAAAGTGTCAATGTTAATCCTCTTAGTGGCCATCACACAGAACTATGTCAGTGAGGCCAGGATCCCTCATCTACTTCCATGTCATGAGCTCAGCTTACTCAGATAAGCTGTAAGCAATAAATTTTGGTCTAGATCTAAGAGAATAGATCTGTGCGGTGAGTATGCAGTATAAAAAAAATATTACCTCAATTGGCGCATGATGGGAAAAGCAAAACTGTGACCACACGCATGGTTTAAAATAGCAATTTTGAGGTGTTTTCTTGGATGTTTTTTATGGTTTTATTCTCACTACTCTGAGCTCAGTTTCAAGCTATTTCCATTTCCAGAACCAACCAATATAATCTCTATTTCAGTAGTACATCTTCAGTTCTATGAAATAATACCAAATAACTGCCAATAAATCCAAGAAAACACAGCAACGTCACTATTTTAAACCATTCAAATGGTCAGAATTTTGCTTTCCCATCATGCACTGCAAAGGGCAAGATTTTCTTGTGCACACTCACTGCACAGCTCAATTCTATCAGATCTAGGCAAAAATTTACCACTCACAGCTTATATGAGTGAGCTGAGCTTATGACATAGAACTAAGTGGGGGATTCTGGTCTCATGGACGTAGTTTTATGTGACGGCCACTGAAAGGGTTAATTTGGGGGTCTGGACAGTAAAAGGATTAAAATTAACAGCTTTAAATGTTGACAGAATTTTAATTAAATTTGAACCTGAATGGGGAGCTAATACAGGTCATTCTTAACCTACTAATTCTATGACAACAAATGAAAACTTCATAATGTCATGATGCCAACACGAAGATGGATTACTTTTGAGAACTTGCTTTTCACACACTTCTAACAGACACAAACATAGTAATTAGTTGCAAAATGATTATTACAAAAACCCAGGACAACTTACATCACATGCCACAAGGAGATCAGGGAATGCTTGCCGTAGGAGCTTCACTGCTACAATGACTGGTGTGTTGGCTGCATCGGCACTAGAGCCACGTTCATCCTTCGGCATATTTGAGGGAACACCAAATAATAAGACCTGTATGAAGTACCAAGTAAAATAAAAAGTAAAATATATTTGAGAATAATTGAAAAATGTTACACATTTTCCCCAGCCTCTCTGAATCTTGGCTGTTTGTCCTTTCTTGTTTCCTTCCCTCTGTGCCTCTCCCTTTCCCCACTCCTTATCTCCCCTTTTCTCCCTCTCATTTTCTTCCCTCTTCCTACCCTCCCTCTCCCTCCTTTCCCCACATACCTCTTCCTTGTTCCCTCCCTCTCTGACTTACTCCCCTCCCCCCCAACACACTCTCACCATCACATCCAGTTATAACCTTTACATATACCTTTATGAGTTTTCAAGAGTTTAACTATTCTGGGGAGCCCAGCCATGGGCCAGGCTCATAACAGTACCCATTTACAGTGGTACCTTCAAAACTCAAACAATTACACCTCCATCCAACTTACGACCTGCTCGACATATGTCCGCTCGACTTACGACCGTGCATCTGGCAGTTGGGCTGGGCCGGCTGATGCACACTGCTGTACAATATTTGACAATACTCACAGCGGCAATGCGTCATGCAGGCAGCATCAGTTTGAGTAACCCTGCCCTATCAGCAGCCTCATGCTGTATGAACTGTACTAACTGGACAGTAAATTTCACCATGATCCCTAAGATGAAGTTTGAATCTTGCACTGGAGATTGTGGCAAGAAAGGCTCTTACTCTCAAACTCTCTATTTGTTTTCACTGTTGCACATAAACCTGTCTGTATCTGTCTGCCTGTATATGTCTGTATCTCTGTGTGTCTGTTTATCTGTCTGTTAACCTGTGTGTCTGTCTTTATCTACCTATGTGTCTTTCTACCTGTGTGTCTGCCTTTCTGTCTACCTGTGTGTCTGTCTACCTGTGTCTGTCTACTTGTGTGTCTGTCTACCTGTGTCTGTCTACTTGTGTGTCTGTCTTTATGTCTACCTGTGTGTGTCTTTCTGTCTACCTGTGTGTCTGTCTTTCTGTCTACCTGTGTGTCTGTCTTTCTGTCTACCTGTGTGTCTGTCTTTCTGTCTACCTGTGTCTGTCTTTCTGTCTGCTTGTCTGTCTCAGAGCCACTCATTAAGAGTGTAATTGGTCTTGAAGATGCCATATTAATAATGATAATGACACAATAATAATCACTGAGCCACATTAAATGTGTATAAAACATTAATATAGACATTTTGCTTAATCCATCCATAATTTTTTCAAAATTATATAATAAACATACTACATAACATACAAACATATAAATTAACAAATATGAGATGTTTTTCTGGTCGGCTTGACAGAGTGAACAAAAACCATTCGTGTCCGGGCTGGTAACAACAACAACGACGACGACGACGACAACGACGACGACGATGACGACGTTTGTTTACATAACTCGTGAACCTTCTACACTCATTCTCTCTCTCGTTTATTCATTTAATCTTGTTTACTCACCTCTCACTCTACACTAAGACTACAGATATTTTAAGGTAAGTAATGAGTGAACACGATTATTATATCATAGTTTAATAATAATATTATTATTATTAATATTAGTACATATGTAATATTGTAATGATAATAATAATAATAATTATTATTAATATTATTATTAACCCCTTGACTGTCGCAACCCCCAATCCTGAGGTGTCTCCTGGTGTCGCAAAATTTCAAAAAAAAAAAAAAATTATTTTTTCTTGTGAAATGATAGAGAATCTTTTCACGATTGTAATGACACCAAAAAAACGAAATTTGATGGAAAACTGACGGAATTACGCTCTCGCGAAGTTAGCGACCTTGGTGATACTTACAAATTGGCGATTTTGCCCACTTTGAGCCCTATTTTCGGCTAATTCCATTGTTCCAGTTGATCAAACTCATAGCTATTTCTTTAGAACTCCGGTTTTTCTATCGATTGAGTACAAGAAACTGCCCATTTACCAATTTCCACTACCCAATAATGTGGTCAGAAATTTGCAATTTGGTCAATTTCACGAAAATTAAAAAAATATGACAATTTCAAAATAAGGTCCAGAATGATCAATGCAGACATTCCTGGCTCTAAAATAACATTTTCTTTGTTCATCAGTCATGCCTCCAGGCCCCTCTGATATTACTCTTGCTTTCTATTTTTAATTTTTATTCAAACATAAAACAGAAGATTTACTATTATGCAGACTACTCCAATACTGTAATAACTGTATAAATAACATCAACCCATTCATGACTGCATATTAGAATGGCTAGTTGGACATTTATTGGACAATGATGTCATTTGTTTGCTTTTGAACATCGGCAAAAATCAAACATTTCCAGGTTTTTTTATAGTAAAATCTATCAAAATCATCTCTTTTTCTATAATATGTTTTCCATTCTATCAAAGGAGACCAAGAAAAAGAGAATACAGCCATAAATACTATATGAAAATAGACCACAAAGTCAGCATTTTAATTAAAAAAAACAGTCGGAGTTTTTTTTTCTCATTATGCACTGCGTGCTCCAGGATTTTTTTTATGTGGTGCACACTGACCACACAGACCCATTCACTCACATGTGGGTCTACCAGCTTTCTCCTTCTTGATTTGAAGCCGCTAGAATTTATGAGTATATATACGTCAAACACAGTACCTCGTAAGACGTATATATACGGCCGCGACAGTCAAAGGGTTAATATTATCATTAATTTAGGGAACTGGAGCACAGATCCACTGTATAGCACTTTGTTTGGATTTTTTGGGTTATCCTAGGTAATTTATACTATGTTTGATAACTTCACTTATGTGTACCTGAGAGAGAGAGAGAGAGAGAGAGAGAGATACAGAGAGAGAGAGAGATACAGAGAGAGAGAGATATACAGAGAGATAGAGATACAGAGAGAGATAGAGATACAGAGAGATACACACACAGAGAGAGAGAGACAGCCACATTCAGTCATCCAACCAACCAAACCAACCAACCAACCACCACACCCACCCACCCAGCCACCCACCCACCAGCCACCCACCCCCCCACCCACCTGGCCATTCAGCCAGCCAGCCAGATACGTATTACACATGTTCCAGAGTTGTTTCTCTTTACTTAGGGTATAGGTTACACTACATTCTAGCAGGATGACACTACCAGTAGTATTCTCCCATTCCACTGTGTCGACAATACATAAAGATAACAGTAACATATGATACTGTATGCGATGTAAAATTTACAATACAGTTCACTACCATGTATACATTATATCCAGTACATAAATAATTAAAATATAACAATAGAAGTAAATTATGGTAAAAAGAATGAAATAATGATTGTACATTACATTACAGTACTATGTAGGTAGTTTATATAGGAAAGTTTTGACACTATGCCCTACCCAATATGTCGGCAATTTTCAAAGGTTCGATTTACGTCCATTTTGACTTGCAAACGGTTGGTCGGAACCAAGCTTGGTCATAAGTCGGATGGTAGGTGTATGTAACTGTGTTTAGTAAGTGCTTTTGTAAGTGTATTTTTGGGGGTCTGAAATGGATTAATCTAGTTTACATTAATCCTTATGGGAACAAATTCGTTCGGCATTGGCACTCAAACAGCCTTCTGGAATGAATTAACCTTTGACTGTTGCAAACCCAAATCCTAAAGCGTCTCCTTGTGTCAAAAAATTTTTAAAAAAAAAAAAAAAAAAAAAAAAATTTTTTTTTAAAAGGGAAAAGTTAAAAAATCTTTTCCTGAGGTAAGGGAAACCCAAAAGTACAAAATTTTGATTGAAAATTTAAACGGAATTAAAATTCCTGTAAAATTTTACTGATCTCGATCAGCGATTTCACCCAAAATTTTTGACCCCTATTTTTGGGGCCAATTCCTTTGGTTCAGTAAAACCAAACTAAATAGTATTTCCTTTTTTTTTAGAGTGAAAAAACGGGCCCATTTCCCAAATTTCAACCCCCCAATTAAAGTGGTCAAAAATTTTGGAAATTTTGGGCCCAAATTTTCACGCAAAAAAAAAAAAAGATGCCAATTTAAAAAATAGGGCCCAAAAATAAACAATGCAGATTTTTCTTGGCACTAAAATAACATCCTCTGTTCTTTTATTTCACGTCTCCGGGCCCTTTTTATTACTCTTGCTTCTTTTTTAAATTTTTTAAATTCCCACAAAAAATAAAGATTTATTTTATGCAGATTACTCCCTTTTATAAAAAAGGGTTTATAAATAATCAGTGCACTATGGAAAGAATATTGTTTTCCCAAAGTTGAGGGTGAAATTGGAGTGGGTGTTTTTTATGTTTATTTTTTGAAAAATTTGGGTAAAAATCGAACTTTTTCTGCTATTTAAAGTAAATTTAAAAGGTCTTTTTTCCCAACTTTGAAACTAATAAAAATCATCTCTAATTTCTGTAAATGTTTTCCATTCTTTTAAAATGAAAACCAAAGGGGAAAAACGGGAAAAAACCCCAAAAATACTATGGGAAAAAATACACCTCAAAGTTGGCTTTTTTAAACCCAAAAAACACGGTCGAATTTTTTTTTTCCTCTCATTATGCAGGGTTTAAATCCAGGATATTTTTTACAGTGCGCATGACCACACAGACCCTTTTTCTCTACAGGGGGGGCCTAAAAGTTTTTCTCCTGCTTATTTGAAGCCGCAGAATTTTTTGAGTTTTTAAAATTTTATGTCTAAAACCCACTGGCTTTTTTTAGATGTATATATACAGCCAAAACCCCTAAAAGGGAAATTAATTTCGTACCCCAAGGGTTTCCACTGTACTTGTCTAAGGATATTAACCATGGCACAGAAAAAGAAAAAACCCGTATCCCGAAGGGTTTAATACTAAGAAAAAGGAAAACAAAATAAGTTTTTTAAAAAAGAGGGAGAAAACGGGTAAAATTTATAAAGCCCTTGATTTTTTTTGGAAGGAGATGCGGGCCCTTTTTCTATTGAAGAATAAATGGAAACAAGTCAGACACCCCTTCCCCTTTAAGCCTTACTACGGCAAGCCTTTTTTTTTAGTGCCCTCTTGTAAAATTTTCCAGGGGCTAAAAGAGGTACCAAACCATTTTGTTTTCTAGAAAATCAAAAGTTGTACCTATATGACATTCACGTTTTCTTTTCCAATTTCTACCGCACACATTTTATAATGCAGACAACAAAAATAGGTTGGGGCTTTCAATTTTGTGGGGCAGCGCAAGAAAAACACTTTAATGCAATTTGACAATTTTTGTTATCTTTTAGTGAATCACTGGGGAAAATTAAAATCATCACAAAAAATGAAAATTTTTCATGAAAAATATGGGAAAACCTGCACTGTTAAAAAAACGGTACTTTAAATTTTTTCACTCTTGTTATTACAACAATTAAAAATAAGGGCCCGGTTTTAATTTTAAAAAATGAATTTTTTTTTTCACAAACTTTCATGGCATCAAATTTCTAATTTTCATTATTATTATAGGGAAAAAGTTAAAGGCTATGAGGATAAAAAAAAAGATTAGGGGTTTAAGAAAGATTTTTTATCAATTGGAGGGAAAAGGGGTATGGAGGAGGTGGGAAAGTAAATCAGAAAATTTGGGAGTGGAACCCTTTTCAGTAGTTGAAATCCCAGAAAGATGAGGGGAAAAGGGGGGGCGATATTTCTTTTTGGGGTCTGTGGGACAAAAAACTTTGGTCCTTGTAAAAAAAGAGGGGGAAATTTTCGAGAACATAGTTTTTCCAACGCTCGTATATGGGTGGGGAAAACCCCTGGGTTTATGAAAGGGTTTCAGCAATGGAAAAGGGTGGAGGGAGTGGGGAGGGCATGGGCTGGGGGCATGTTTTTGTGGGAATAATATAAAGCAGAGGGTTTTGGTTTTGTTTTGGGAAATTTAGGAGGAATGCGGATTTCCAAAACTGTTTTCCAGAGGGGTGAGGAAGGGTTTTTGAGGGGGTTTGGACATGTTTGAGAGAAAGGAAAAAACAGAAAAGACTTCGAGGTGTTAAACCCGTAGTGTGGGAAGGCAAAGGGGATGGGGGCAGCCCAGGAAAAAGGGTTTGGGGGAGTGAGTTAAAAGGGGGTTTTTTTGGACGGGTTTTGGGGCCCTTCCCGCAAGCAATTTCGTGAGTGTATTTGATTGGAGCAAAAGGAACAAATGGTTTTTAGTAAATTGACATGCTGTTTTGGGGTGAAGCAAAGGGAAAAATTTAAGAAGGGGAAATTTAACCCGGAAAAAAAAGGCCCGCTGGACTTGGGTTTAAGTCCCGGAGAAGGGAAGTACAGTTTACTGCACTTGAAGGAGAGGTGTTAAAAGTTGCAGTTTTATAAACTGGGGTGGGAAAGCACCCCTCTGGGAAAAGTGATGGGGTGAATAAGGTATAGTTTTTTTTTTTCCCGGGGCCCCCTGCCTTTGGGGGAATCGCCGTTTGTTAAAAAAAAAAATAAAAAAGTAATAAACATTGAAAGGGAATAATCCTTTTGGGGGTTTAAAACCCTGTGGGGAATGTAAAGGGAAAACATGTTTAATACAAGGGGAGGGCCCGAAAAACTTCCTTGGATCACGAGCCCCCGCCCGCAAAACAAACCCTTTCCCTTTATGGGGTGTTTTAATAAAATTTTGTAAATTTAAAGAAAAACGAATGATCGGTTTAAAATCTTAAGTGAATAATTGTTTCATTTTAAATTTTATGGGTAAATTTTCTGTTTTCTAATTAAGCTAATAGTTTAAAGAAGAGGAGAGAACTTACAGAGGAAAGACCATTCAGTATAAGTGGCTTAAGAGCAGCCTCAAGTTTGTTGACTCCGTATCTGTTGACCCCTGGCAGGCTAGCCACTGGCTGCTCTGCATCATCATCATCTCTGAAACAAAACATTACAACTCTAACCAAACCTTCAGCATCAATAAGGAAACTTGACTGACTGAAATAATCACTAAAGGGGCATAAACCCCAATTTTTTTTTATATTTTTTTTTTGTACAATTTCATTAATTTATTTCTTTGTTAGAATCAGCATACAGAGTGCTATAAAAAAAAGTTTTATTAAGATCGGCTAACAAATAAATGAATTAGAAAAATAAAAAAATATGATTTGGCAAGTTTTGATCGCTGTGACATACTGGAATTGCCAAAAGAGTTTTGCACACTGTGAACAGATAAAGCAATGCCAAATTGAGCTTTCAAAGGTGGAAAATATTGCAATATGCCTTATTTTCACTCCCCAAATAAATAAAGTTGGAAAGTTGTGGACATTTTTACCCCCCCCCCCACTAATGCAAAAAAAATTAGGGGCTACATTATGAAAATCATACCATCGGATTATAGAACATTCATTGTTAAATGATTAATGTGAAAATCATTTCAAACCATTCATTTTTAATAGCACATCAGTAGTAAATAGGTAAATAAATTACTCTCAAGATATTCAAGACAATGCACCTACCTTAAGTAATGATTGTCTGCTTATTTGTTGTCCTTGTAATTCATAAATTTATTGTTTATATACCCTTAATGTCCTTAAACATAAGCAATTAATTAGTTATTGCCATTGTGGTCTTAATTGTTCTGCATGCACAATTGTCACTCATCTCAGAACAAATATTGTATAAAAAATAGAAGTCCACAGGTTGTTCTTCAACGCTATATATCCTTAGTTAGGCCTCATTTAGACTATGCTGCTCAGTTCTGGTCATTGTGTTACAGAATGGATATAAATGTTCTGGAAAACGTACAGAAGAGGATGACAAAGATGACCCATGTATCAGAAATCTTCCCTATCAGGACAGACTGAGGGCCATGAATCTGCACTCTCTAGAAAGGCGTAGAATTAGGGGGGATATAATTGAGATGTATAAATAGAAAACAGGAATAAATAAAGGGGATGTAAATAGTGTGCTGAAAATTTCCAGCCAAGACAAGACACGCAGCAATGGTTTCAAGTTGGAAAAATTCAGATTCAGGAAGGATATAGGAAAGCACTGGTTTGGTAATAGAGTTGTGGATGAGTGGAACAAACTCCCGAGTACAGTTATAGAGGCTAAAATGTTGTGTAGGTTTAAAAATAGGTTAGATAAATACATGAGTGGGTGTGGGTGGGTGTGGGCTGGACCTGATTAGCTTGTGCTACTGGGTCTGGTGCCGTGCTCCTTCCTTGAGTGAAGGTGACCACACTGGGTGGGTCATTGGGCTAATCTGGGGAGGGTGGGGGGGGATATATGGACCTGCTCCACATGGGTCAGTAGGCCTGTTGCAGTGTTCCTTCTTTCTTATGTTCTTACATTCATTTTATTTATTTTTTATTTTATTAACACCCTGGCCGATTCCCACCAAGGCAGGGTGGCCAGAAAAAGAAAAACTTTCACCATCATTCACTCCATCACTGTCTTGCCAAAAGGGTGCTTTACACTACAGTTTTTAAACTGCAACATTAACACCCCTCCTTCAGAGTGCAGGCACTGTACTTCCCATCTCAAGGACTCAAGTCCGGCCTGCCGGTTTCCCTGAAGTCAAGTATTAAAAACCATTGGTCTCCATTCACTCCTATCAAACACGCTCACTCTTGCCCACTGGAAGTCCAAGCCCCTCGCACACAAAACCTCCTTTATCCCCTCCCCCCAACCTTTCCTAGGCTGACCCCTACCCCGCCTTCCTTCCACTACAGACTGATACACTCTTTAAGTCATTCTGTTTAGCTCCATTCTCTCTACATGTCCGAACCACCTCAACAACCCTTCCTCAGTCCTCTGGACAACAGTTTTGGCAATCCCACACCTCCTCCTAACTTCCAAACTACGAATTCTCTGCATTATATTCACGCCACACATTGCCCTCAGACATGACATCTCCACTGCCTCCAGCCTTCTCCTCGCTGCAACATTCATCACCCATGCTTCACACCCATACAGGAGCATTGGTAAAACTATACTCTCATACATTCCCCTCTTTGCTTCCAAGGACAAAGTTCTTTGTCTCCACAGACTCCTAAGTGCACCACTCACCCTTTTCCCCTCATCAATTCTATGATTCACCTCATCTTCCATAGACCCATCCGCTGACACGTCCACTCAAAAAAATATCTGAATACATTCACCTCCTGCATGCTCTCTCCCTCCAATCTGATATCCAATCTTTCATCACCTAATCTTTTTGTTATCCTCATAACCTTACTCTTTCCTATGTTCACTTTCAATTTTCTTCTTTTACATGCCCTACCAAATTCATCCACCAACCTCTGCAACTTCTCTTCAGAATCACCCAAGAGCACAGTGTCATCAGCAAAAAGCAACTGTGACAACTCCCACTTTATGTGTGATTCTTTATCTTTTAACTCCACACCTCTTGCCAAGACCCTCGCATTTACTTCTCTTGCAACCCCATCTATAAATATATTGAACAACCACGGTGACATCACACATCCTTGTCTAAGGCCTACTTTTACTGGGAAATAATCTCCCTTTTTCCTACATACTCTAACTGAGCAATCACTATCCTCGAAAAAAACTCTTCATGCTTTCAGTAACCTAAACCCCCTATACATACACCTGCAACATCTGCCACATTGCCCCCCTATCCACCCTGTCATATGCCTTTTCCCCAAAACCATAAAATGCCACAAAAAACTCTTTAGCCTTATCTAAATACTGTTCACTTATATATTTCACTGTAAACCCACCTGGTCCACACCCCCCCTACCTTTCCTAAAGCCTCCTTGTTCATCTGCTATCCTATTCTCTGTCTTACTCTTAATTCTTTAAATTTAATAACTCTACCATACATTTTAAACCAGGTATACTCAAAAAGACTTTATCCCCCTATAATTTTTGCACTCTTTTTTGTCCCCTTTGCCTTTATACAAAGGAACTATGCATGCTCTCTGCCAATCCCTAGGTACCTTACCCTCTTCCATACATTTATTAAATAATAGCACCAACCGCTCCAAAACTATATCCCCACCCTGCTTTAAACATTTCTATCTTTCCCCATCAATCCCGGCTGCCTTACCCCCTTTCATTTTACCTACTGCCTCACAAAACTTCCCCCACACTCACAATGGCTCTTCCTCACCCCAAACAAGATGTTAATTCCTCCTTGCCCTATACACAAAATCACAGCTTCCCTATCTTCATCAACATTCAACAATTCCTCAAATATTCCCTCAATTTTCCCAAATACCTCTAACTCTCCATTAATAACTCTCCAATCCTACTTTTAACTGACAAATCCATTTGTTCTCTAGGCTTCCTTAACTTGTTAATCTCACTCCAAAACTTTTTTTTGTTTTCCCAACAAAATTTGTTGAAAACATCTCACCCACTCTCTCATTTGCTCTCTTTTTACATTGCTTCACCACTCTTTTAACCTCTTCTCTTTTTCTCCATATACTCTTCCTCCTTGCATCACTTCTACTTTGTAAAAACTTCTCATATCTAACTTTTTCTCCCTTACTACTCTTTTACATCATCATTCCACCAATCGCTCCTCTTCCTTCCCCCACCCACTTTCCTGTAACCACAACTTCTGCTGAACACTCTAACACTACATTTTAAACCTACCCCATCCCTTCGACCCCATTGCCTATGCTCTCATTTGCCCATCTATCCTCCAATAGTTGTTTTTATCTTACCCTAACTGCCTCCTCTTTTAGTTTATAAACCTTCACCGCTCTCTTACCTGATGCTTCATTCTCCTTGTATCCCATCTACCTTTTACTCTCAGTGTAGCTACAACTAAAAAGTGATCTGATATATCTGTGGCCCCTCTATAAACATGTACATCCTGAAGTCTAAAATCAACAGTCTTTTAAACTACCAATACATAATCCAACAAACTACTGTCATTTCCCCCCTACATTATTCTTTTTATACTTATTTTACCCCTTTTTTTTCCCTTAAAAAATGTATTACCAAATAACAAAACCCCTTTCTATACAAATTTTAAAATTTCAAAGGGCTCCCTTTTAACATTTACACCTGGCCCCCCAAAAATTTTACCTACCAAAACCCTTTTAAAAAGTTTTTTCCTTCTTTAGCATTCGGGCCCCCTACCAAAATTTCTCTCTCACTTGATTAAAAAGGGTTTCCCTTTATTTATTAAATTAACATCCTAAAAAATCTCTCTTTTCTCCTTTACATTCCCTTCTTCCCCAAAGGTGCATACACACTTTTATGACCCCTTTTTTTGCACCCAAACCCTTTACTTTAATCCACATAACCCTTTGGGAATTTTAACTTTTTTTTATTTCTTTTCCCCCCTTCCATAACTGATCCTTAAACATTATTGCTAACCCCCCTTAGCTCAAAACTCTCTCAGAAAACCCAGTTTTAAATTCCCATTTTTTTCTCCTCCCCCGGGAAATTTTCCCCCTACCCCCCTTCAGCTTTGGGGTTTGCTTAGGGCCAGGGCCCCAACTTCTTTTCATTCATAAAAATCAGCAATCATCTGTTTCTTTCATCCGCCTCAACCAAGCCATTCAAGCATCCCATTTTATATTTTTTATCACATCAAATGTTGTTACAAAAATCTGCTGTTTGAAATCAAAAAAAAATTAATTTACAAAACCAAAAAAGTTCCAGTTTTAGAACTAATTTTTTGGGGAAGCTTAACTCCTTTTTTAGAATTTTTTTTTCGATAAATAAAAGCCCTTGGGCCACTAATTACAAATCTCCCTTTCTGAATGACGGAGCTCAATTCCTAAGACCACGTTGGTAAAAGAATTCGTCGCTAAATGAGGAGCATACAGTAGGGCCCCACTTATACGGCAGGTTCCAGGCTACTGCCGGAAAGCAGACATCGCCAGAAAGCAGAACGCCATTTTTTCCACTTATAAGTGCATATAAATGCCAGACAGCAAGTTTACACAAAC